GTGCGTGCGTGCGTGCGCGTGCGTGCGTGTGTGTGTGTGTGTGTGTGTGTGTGTGTGTGTGTGTAGGCCAGAAATCACCATCAGGAATGGTCCCCAGGAAGGCATTCTACATCCTTATAGACGGAGTCTTTCATTGGCCCAGAGCTTACAACTTAGATTGCTTGGCCAGTGAGCCCCAGGGACCCTCCCATCTCTGCCTCCCCAGTGTTAGAATAATCTGCACATCTAGCAATTTTACATGGATGCTGCAGCTCAAACTCGGGTATTCACTACCTAGTGAGCCCTCCTCTCCACCAACCCCCGAGCATTTCCTATTTTAAGTCGTACCTGTTGGAGCAGCTACCATGACCTTGGCCAACATGTGATTTTTTTTGTACCTATTTTGGCAAATGCCCCCCCCCCATCACACATGTGTGGAGTTGTTCTTTATTTTCAACAACCAATCAGTTATCTCCTAGGCAGCAAGACAAAATGTCTCAGAAGTGATGATAGCTGTCACACTCATGAATCCAGCATCTCGGAGACGCGAGGGAGCAGTGACCAGAAACAAGCCAGATCCTCAGCCAGGCAGAGTGTTCGGCCGATCATGTGACTGTTAACAGCCATGCATGCACAAACATACACAAGAGGATGCTAATCTACCGGTGCTAATAACGACGGACATTTATAGCGCCTTCCTTCACAAAAGTCCTGCGCGGCACACAATTAAAGGCAGCCACAGACAAAAAGTCTTTTCAGCTGAGATTCATAAAAGGAAAAGCAATTCAGCCTTCCTAAGCACTAAAGCAAGCCAAAGCCATTGGCTGGTGTGTGGGGTGGGGAGGGATGGGGGGGGGAGGGATGTAACATCTTCATGGCTCAGGCCCCCATTTCTTGCATGTTATATTGAGGACAATCAAACTGGTCTGAAGAAAGAACAAACTGGAAAGACACAAGGCCCCCAAGTTACAGGGGGAATAAAAAAGGCAAGATGAAATCTCACCTGAGCACAAGCGAACTGTCCCCATGTGAGGCTGCGGGAGACTGTGGCCCCGTTTGCCTATCTGTCAGATTTGGCACTGTGGTGTGATTGGATTGGGAAGCCTGAGAAACGGAGGAGATTTGGGGTTGGATATGAACCCCTGTTGCTTATTGGATTTAGAACTGCAAAGGAAGCCCCTGGGATCCCACTGCTACCTGATCCAGAGTCATTGTCACAGGACTGAGAAGTCACCTCCAGACTCCAGACTGAGGACATGTGCTAAACGAGACATCTTAAAAACTCCTCCCCAGGGCCTCAGTGTTTGCAAATCACCGTGATTTCCTGTCCCCTCTTACCACCATCCCTGCAAGTTGTCCTAAGAGCAGAGGAACCCTGGGTCATTTTTCCTGGGTGCCCACACAGGTGGAAAATGTCAAGTCAGCATCCAAGATGGTACCCGAGCTGCTCATCGCTGGCGGCCACTACTCCACATCGGGGAGTTTAGACACAGAATCAACCAGCCGAGTGCAAGAGGATTCAGTGGCCGATGCCTGTGGGAGCCCCGGCGCAGCGAACACAGCCACTGCGTTTTCTCCTACTCCATGCTCCTGTCCAGAGCCTTTGTGGTCCTGCAGTCACCTGGTAACTCTTTCCTAGCTCTTCCCCTCCTTCATCGCTCCCTACTTCCTACCCCAGGGCCTCTGTACCTGCTGGACTCCCACTGTGCTGTCCCCCCCCCACTTCACTCCCCATCCCATCTTTCAGTTGATGGCTACTATCGCCTCAATCTTAGCTCAGTGTTACTTTGCCTAACAATGGTCCCCAGAGTGATATAGGCCCCGGTCCCTGAAGACCCCAACTGCTACCTCAGATGGCAGAAGGGGACTTTGCAGGTAGGTAAGTACTTGATGATCTGGGTGGGCCCTAAATGTAACATGGGAAACCAAAGGAGGTCTGACCAAAGCAGTTGATATAACCACACAAACAAGATGCCCCATGACTGCTGGCCTTAAGATAGGGGAAGAAGCTAGAAGTCATGGTGGAAAAGGCAAAAAGCTGGGTCTGGTCTTCCAGACAGTGACTCCATGTCAGTTTAGTGAACGTCACTGAAGCCTTCATGACTGTAAGGGAGTGTGCCTGATGCCACACAGTCAGGGTGACTTGTTAGGAGTGGGATACAACAGTTTAGAGGGGTCTGCACACCTGAGTGGTCTTACTTCCTCAGCAGGGGTGTGAGGCCCAGACAGACCACTCCAGGAAGCTGCTGCCCCAAGGCTCTTCCCAGCGGCATCTCAAAGAGCCCACTCCCAGAGATCCCAGAGTTAGGACAAACACCTGCTCCAGCCCACTCACCCCACAGATGTAGAAACTGAGGCTCCAAGAACCCTGCAGCTGGGCTGAAGGATGTGGGCAGTGTCAATCAAACCTCTCAATACTGGCCTTTCGCAGCCATTTGGAGTTTTCAACATGAACAATTGTGCAGGCTGCCGATTGCTTGGCAGCAATCCCATAATGACCCAATCATGAAATAATCTAGCCATCCAGATTCGAATTGTTTGCAGCTATAGTGACTGGATAACTGGCTAGTTAATGTTCATTTCTCAAGAGCCAAGCATATGGCTTTACAAGGAAACCAAGCTCTGAAATACTTGTTAGCTCTGATAATAATTACTAAGTAATTGGCTAGAACACACCATTGTGGATTTATCTAGAATATGCCAGGCAATTATCTAGTCATATGCTCCCTGTAAAAATAAAACCAAGGTCCCCCCAAATTGTTCTAGTCAGTTGGCTAGCATCCAAAAATCAACCGCTAACAGTCAGTCATAGGGATGCAAATGATTAATCAAATTACTCAGATATCTGGTTGCAAATAGAACGTTCAGATGGGTACTCTTAAGGGCCAACAAGTAGATGGAGCTAAATGGGGGACCCAGTAAGCTCTCCCCATGACAAATATATAACAACACAATAATTGGGGGATAAATGCTACCTTCTTTAAGGCTCATCCTCACACAAAACACTAGACACTTCAGAGACCAATTATACGTCCCAAAGCCACTAGGGATGTTTTTTAAATCATGGCGCCAGCAAAAGGTAGGTGCTTTGTTAACTCTATGGATTGTTATGGCGCGGGGGCGGAATACAGAGTTCTGTCAGAGAACAGAGGGCTGCAGCACAGCTGGGCCTGAGGGGTGAGCAGGACATTTTCATAATGGCCACTCATTTTCTGAAGCTGCTGATGGGGTCCGTACATGTGCAATGAGCCACTCTTTGGGAAAGGGGGAGGGGAGGACAGAAGGCGTGGGTTCCTGAGATCCATGGTTCACCAGACTCGTGTATCTCAAGTGAGGGGCTCCTAAGTTCCTGGAGAGAGACATTGCTTCCTGTTGAGAGAGAAGCACAGTGTGCAGAGGGGAGTCGCTGAAGAGGGCTGTAAAAGCGACCTCCTCTCCCTGAAGAGTCTGCCACTCCGAGGGCAAATCTTTCTCCTTAGCTTGAATCCAGTTGACCACAGGTGATGCTCTGGCCAATGACGTCAGCGAGTACATGACCAGTGGAGCCATGAAAAGCACCCGTGCATTCAACCTTTGACAGAAGCCACCATGGGAAAGACCAGAGCTGGACGTCACCTGACACAGAAACACCCTAGCTGCTAGGGGACCTACCCACTAGCAGATGGTAAAGATAGGCATCTACAAGGGACCCGATCCTCAATGCAGCCAGCCGACCAGAGCCACCCAGTGGAGTCAGGCCACAGAACAGGACTCAACCCACAACAATCCCAGGGCAGAGGAAAGCCACTGAGCTGCAGAGGAATTGGTCCTTTACTTTATCAAGCGTTTGCAGCCTGCTCCCCAACTCGATGACTTCAGAGCCACTTCTGTCTTGGGTAGATGTGACAGCCCCTGCTCTCACACTGGTTTAAGGAGAGACCAAGGCCTCTGCCACCACCCCAAGCTCCACAGGTACTTGCCATTTGATACACAAGCCCCAGTCGTCTGCCTATTCAGGATGACATGGTAATTCTCTTGTTACTGTGGGCTAATACACAGACTCAAGGGAGCAGACTGAAAACGCACTGCCTCTTCTGAAATCTGCAGCACCTTCTCCAACACCATCCATGATGTGGGACTAACTCCCAGTGAGATTCTACCCCTTAAATTGTGTCCTGGAAGCAGATGGCTCTGCTTGACATCCCAGGCCACATCCACAATTCCTAAGCTGTAGTCAGTTCCAACTAATACAGTAAGGGAGGATTTGGAAACAAGTTGATGATCAGTTCACAGCTGCTCAACCTCCGTCAATGCTACTTTGATTTTCTAATATTCTCTCTCTCTCTCTCTTTTGCATATATATGAGTCCATGTGTTTGTGGATGTTCATATACATGAGTTTATATGCGTTTGAAGGTCAAGGTTTTACATCGGGTGTCATTTACCATTTTTTAAAGGTTGATCTCTATTAACTGCCCTCCCCCTGACCTGCCCCCAGACCCCTGCAGCCCATGAATGCTGAACACTCAGAACAATGGCAGCAACAGCCCCACAAACGTTCTGTGAACCATCGAGAGCCACAATCATAGCCATCCGCACCTCAGATAAAACTATGGGGCAGATCTGGCCCACCACTTGGCTTTATAAATAAAGTTTTATTGCAATGCTGCCATGCCAATCCATCCACATACCATCTATGGCCAACTTTGTGTGACAGTGGCAGAGCCAACTTGCTAAGACAGACCCTGCAGCCTTTGAGGCTGATTGACATATCCCACTGGGCCCGTGACACAAGCTGGCTGACCTGTGTCTGAAGCAATCCGCTCATTTCACGTGATAAGAGAGAAGAGTCAGAGAGCCACCCATGCAGAATACAGTCAGGCTTGGCTTTCCTGGGTCCCAAGGCAGTGCTCTTTCCAGACACTGCTAAAGGCCTAAAAGCAGATTATTTTTTAGGGGCTTAAAGGGCTATGAGTGAACCATGGATGGAAGACCTGAAGACGCTATTAGCCTGAAAAAAAGACATGAGACGAAGGGACTGACCTGGTAATGATGGCCAGGTGAGGCGGGCTCATGCAGGCCCCCATGAAGAGCACCACATTCTCATGCCTGGTCTGCCTGTAGGCCATCACTTCCCGCTTGAAGGCCTTGAGCTGGTCCTCATTGTCCCTCTCGATGTCAATCAACCTGATCGCCACCTCGCCATGCCAGCGTCCGTGGTACACCTGCCCGAAGCGACCCTTCCCGATGAGCTCGCCAATCTCTAGCTGCTCAAAGGGGATGTCCCATTCCTGAAGGAAGATGCTGGTCTGGCTGGCCTTGCGTGGAAAGCTCCGGGCTGAGAGGAGGGACAGGTTCATCTCCTCAAAGTCATCCTCAGACTCCTCGGCTTCATCGTGGCCTTCTTCGTTCTGTGGCCAGAGAGGGAGAGAGATCAAAGCCATGGCCACCCCGGCTCCATCCTCCCTAGGGGATTGTTGGGTACCATGTGTGCTATGGAGGTCAAGACACACTCCATATTTAAATATGTAGACACACCTGTGTTCCAAGTATCTTCGGATTTGAGTTCTACCACAAAAAAGGACTTGAAGGAGAGTCTGGTGGTCCCACTGCCTTATGCTAAGAGAGGAGACATGCCAAGACATTCTAGTTTGGCAGGACTGTGAAGATTTCACACTAAAAAGTGACACAGCCCAGGACACATCCTGGGCAAATGAGAATGTTGGTCACCTGGGAGGTCCTCACTCTCGCTCTGGATCAAAGCCAAGCAGAGGGACGGTTTAGCATTCCACCATACTGGTTTCGACTTGCCTGACAGTATGTGTGTACAAGGAACAGCAGGCTAAAAGATGTATGTACCGTGTGTCTCTTCGTGTGACACGGGACAACCATCAGATTGGGTTGCCTGTTGGCCTCCTCCAAGGAGTTCAGAATTGGTTCAGAGATTGACAGGGCTTATAGGTCCAAGCTCTGTGGCTCATTTAAGACCAGGGGGCTGGCAGACATCAGAGCAGACAGCCAAGACCACAAGTTGAACACTCAGGCCCAGTTAGTGGGCCTCTGGCCTGTGTGGCCTTGGGGAAATTGGTCCATCTCTCTGAGCTCTCCTTATCTCCCTATAAAGTAAAGTAAGATGAGAATTTTCTCCAGGGGGTAGTGTGAAGTTCTAAATGAAGGGGATGAGTTCTGAAGTTCCCACTGATGCCTGGCTGCCTACATCAAACATCTGCTGGGATGCTGGAGAAAAATGCAGCTTCTTGGGCCCCATCTGGATCTACTGAGTTGAAACGTCACCAGATTTGCAGTGAGACCTGCCTTATTAAACACATGACCCTTGGGGTTAGTTGTGATCCATCAAGGGGGAACTCATAGGGGTTGGAGATAGCTAGGTTCAGGGGTGTCTTGCCTATTAGACTCTTTTATAACTTGGTGGGTGTGGGGGAGCAGATGCCAGACCCTGTGTGAAGCCCCAGAGACCCTGGTAAGGTGACCTCAAAAAGTAACCTCTTCACTGGACCCTAAATGTATTGTATGAGCTAAATGTGACACTGAGGGAAATCAAGACAGGGAATGTCAGCTTCCTGGGGTCAGTTCTAGTGACTGCTTCTGTCTCAGAATGGGATGTGGGTCTCTTTCCTAGAGCCCTGCTTCTAGCCCTTTTAGCTCAGGGCACACAGTAGGGCTGAGACGGCAGACCCAATGGTTATTCCCCAGGACATGTCTTTACTCCCTTAGCACAGATGGAAGGAAGCCCACAACTTCCTCACTGTTGCCAAGCCAGCATCCTTGGGACTCCTACCTGCTACTGTATGTTATTTTGAAGGCAGTGGAACACATCCCTCTTCTGATTTCCCCCAGCCTTGAGCTAATTTTTTTTAACCTAAAAATGCAAATCACAGGCCAATTTCTATCCAACCGTCTCTGCCAGTATGAGCACAGTCAAACGGCCCATTAGGCTCAGCGCCTGGAGAAGCCACAGCTCCTCAATTGTCCTAGAGTGAGAACATCCATCAAACAGCCACTACCCCCACCTCCCTACCCCCACCCCTCTGTGTCATCAAGGACATGGGGCAGCTTTGCCAACCTCTAACCAAAGCCTCCTTTTCCGGTCTCCAATTCTTACCTCTGAGGTTGGTTCCACTTCAATCTGAAGTAATGGATTTCCTTCCAAGCTGTAAATCAGAGAGAGGAAAAAGGAAAAAAAATGCCTGTGACCTTTACACCTCTGGATTTAGGGTGAACCACACTCAGGAGCCCGAAATGGCAAGTTGGGGCCAGGAACCCTTCTGTCATTTCAACACTTGGCTGAGCAGATGGAAGGCTCATCAGACCATAATTTTAAAAGAAATCTCCCTGGTTTGCTCAGGGCTCGCTTTTCTTTATGGTTCCAACTAGTAGAACAGCCTTGTCTTTTTAAGTGGGCAAAAAATGTCACAGACGAGGAACTCTCCAAGGTCTAAATGTACACCGGAAAGGAACAAATCACATTTCTAAACTTCAGCTTCAGAATCTCCTAGAAGGGTCTTGAAAAAAAAAGATTTAGTTTTATTATTAATTATGTATCTGTGTGTGGGTGTGTGCACTTGCTTGTGGCACCTATCAAAGTCAGAGGGCAGCTGATGCCCCTGAGTTGGAGTTACAAGGGGTTATGAACCACCTGTGATGGTTGGTTGTTTTGTGTGTGTGTGTGTGTGTGTGTGTGTGTGTGTGTGTGTGTGTGTGTGTGAGAGAGAGAGAGAGAGAGAGAGAGAGAGAGAGAGTGTTGTTGTTGTTGTTTTTAACTTAAAACAAGCTAGAGTTATTTGGGAAGTTCATGGGAGTTCTACTGAGAAATGTTTTCCAATAGATTGGCCTGATGACAAGTCTGTGGGACATTTTCTTGGTTAATGATTGATATGGGAGGGTCCAGTCCACTGTGGGTGGTGCCATCCCCTAGGCGGATGGTCCTGAGTTGTTTAAAAAAGGAAACAGAGCATGGGAAGTAAGCCGGTAAGCAGCACAGCACCCTCCATGGCCTCTGCATCAGCCCTTGCCTCAGGCCCCTGCAAGAGCTTGGCAAGGGTTCTTAGGTGCTGAACCAGCTCTTCAGTCCTGCCCACTACAAGGATTTTATTACCAATGCATTTGTCTGTTCATTTATTCATTTTTTTAAAAATTCATTCATTCATTCATCTAGAATTCTGCACCAGGCATGTCTTTAAAAGGAGACTCTAGAGTTAGAGGCATCACGGCTCCTGCCATAAAGGGAAAGCCTTTTCACTACTGAAAGAGCCAGGGGGAGCTGAAGGCAACAAAGGGCCCGCAGCTACCAGTGAGCTGAATAAATGGAGTGTTGTGCGCATTTCCAGGAAAGAGACTCACAGGACACATTTGGAAGTTCACAGTTGTCATGGTGTAAATAAAAGTGATCCCATAGGCTCATATTATATATTTGCATGCTTAATTGCTAGAGGGTGGTGCTATTTGAAAGGATTAGAAGGTGTGGCATCAATGGAGGAAGTTTGTCCCTGAGGGCAGGCTTTGAGGTTGTAAAGGTCCACACGAAGCCCAGTCTGTCTGTCTGTCAGTCTGTCTGTCTCCCCCCCACACACACACACCTGTGGATCAGAATGTCTCAACTACTTCTCCAGCATCATGAATGCCATGCCTACTGCCATGTGTCTCGCCCTGATAATATCCAGCTCACCCTCTGAAACTGTAAGGAAGCCGCTGATTAAATGCTTTCTGTTTTATAAGGCTTGCCTTGGTCACGGTATTTCTTCACAGCAATGGATTAGTGACTAAGACAATGGTGCTGGAGTGGAACTTGGCCAATCTCCTGGAATCAAGGTACGTGTACGTCAAGCAAGGGCTTGGCCAGGTGGGAAAACACAGGTGTGAGTTTGTGTCACACATACAAAGCTCAAAAGCTACAGCTGCCTTCTAAGTGCGGCTGCTGCGATCTATGGGTTTATGTGTGAGCCACGCAAGGGATGATGGGGTGTGCCAGTGCTTGCCTGGAGTTGTGTGGACACACTAAGGGCATTAGGGATGTGCTGTGTGTTAATGATATAATTGGCTGTGTATTGAGGGTGAGGGCACTATCAACTTTGTAGCTTAGTGATGGGCATGTGGGGAATTGTAACTGTCTACAGGGGTTTGGAGGAAGCTTTTGACACTTTAGGGTGTGTGTTTAGGGGGTGCAGTGGGAACAGAGCAGCTTGGTTGGCAACAGACTGCACACAAAACTCAAAAGAGGTAGGACAGAGCCTTCTCCAGGAAAACCGTGTCTTCTTCATATTTCTCCAATGGGAGTTTAGCAACTCCGGTACCTACCCTATTGTGGGAGGAGTTTCTTATCCAGCCCCTCAGATCTCTAAGTAAAGGGCCCTGCCGACTCAGCTAAACAGGAGGGGGGCCGTGTGTCAATCAGATATTGATGGTGTAGCCTCAGGACGTGGGATGAGAGTCCGTGGGGACAGCGCAGAGTCCCTCTCCTTGCCTAACCACCCTAGGGCAAGCCCCCTCCTTTCTGCCAGGTCGATTCGCTGACTTCCTGCCCTTTACTCCTCACACATGTAAACAGATCGCTCTCGAGCAGCTCCACGAACTGCCACGGTGGTTAATAACTTGGAGTTCGTCTTGTACAAAGTATGGAGCAGGCTTGTGAGCAGCAGAGCTCCTTTGATTTTAAAGACGCGCCCTGTTGGAGCTTCGTGGAGCCTGACGCAGGTCACGTGGCCAGAAGAAAAGGGCAGAAATGAGAGTCGCACTCTCATCACACCCCACAAAAGGGAAGGAGGGTGACTTCTCTGACTGCCCAAGCCATAGGTCATCCAGGGAGGGGTGTGCACCAAGACATCTGTGGCCACATTGCTTACTGCAGGGGGATCTGAATTCCACATGACTGTGACATTCTTTCTAATCAGTAAGACACTGCCTATGAAGGGCCCGAACCACAGGAGGAAATCAGGGTCCCTGCATTAAAGGTAAAACGGGATTGTGAGGATCCTGACTGCCTTTGTCATGAATCACAGATACATAATTGGATGAGAAAGCACACTAAGACATTCTAGCAGCATCAAGTTCCAAGGGGCGAGTTTCCCCTCCTTATTCACGGAATATTCTAAATTCTCCCAAATTAGCTCCTGCTCATTTTACAGTGATATAACTAACAGAGGCTAGCAAGCTCTGTCTGCAAGGGGCCAGAGAGTCAATATTTTTGGCTTTGGGGAGCCATATGCTTCCTTGACACCTTTCCACCCTCCCGCTGTACTGAGAAGGCAGCCGGTCAAGGCCCTGTGAATACATTAGCATGGCAGCGTTTCAATAAAACTTTACTTATAAAAGCAAGTGACAGATGGGATTTGCCTGACAGGCTAGAGTTTGTTGATCCCAGATGAAACTATATATTTCATTTTTTCCTTCTTTTTCTTTCTCATACTCTGTCTCCTCACACCCCTTACCCCCCAGGACCAGGGGTTGAATCTACACCTTCACAACCAAAGTACACCCCCAGCCCATTTTAGATGTTCAGATTTTGAGATCGGGCCTTATTAAGTTGCCCCAGCTGGCTTTGAACTTGTAATTCCTTTGCTTTCACCTCCCAAGCATCTGGGATGACCAATAGGTGCCACTGGGCTCAGCTTAAAGGACACTTTTTAAAAAGGGGGACCCATGGTATAAACTAAAGTCTAGCTGTTGCCTGGGACAGTTGTCTGGGATCATAAGGAGGCCACTGTGAGGTACTGGTATGACCTCTAGAAACTGTAGTTACCGCAGATGACCAGAGCCACATAGAAACTGTAGTTGCCACAGATGACCAGAGCCACAAGAAGAGCTGGCTTGTGGGGTCTAATGTTGCCTCAAACCACCGCCCCCCTCAGCTTGGGATGCCAGTCGCCTTCTACTCAGTCATGCCCTGTGTCTTTTTGCCCCCCACTCATCTCCTTCAGGTCTGAGGAGAAGCGACAGCAGAGGGACAAAGCTTGGGGTAGGGGATGAGGCCACTTACATTGTATTCGAGGTGACCGGATGCAAGATGACTTGGGGCGCCCGGGTGGGCGTCTCTGGTACGGGCACCACATCTGAGAGGCAGAGGGCAGAAACTCAGAGACCAAACCTAGAGCCCATGACCCTTACCCCCAAGAGACACAGCAGCCAGCAACCCTACCCTGTGCTATGGATTCCAACTTTGGCCAGCTTCCTTCCCCCCCGCCTCACCCACTGAGATGGACCAGCAATCTAGAGATCCTGAATAGGCATCCTCACCGCCAAGGGGGCTGCACAGGATACCTAAGCATCCACTGCCCATCCCTGAATCCTCCTCACTCCTGAGTCCTTTTTGGGTTAAGGGGACCACTCAGTTCACATTTCTGTCCAGCTCAGGTCCCTTTGACTTGACCCCCTGGGCCTCCACCCTGCTGGGCATATACTTGGGTCCCTTGGTGCTCTTGGGATCTCCTACCCTTACCTTCTCCTCTTCCAGATGTTATCCAGATGTTATCCTGGAGTGTGGAGACCCCACTAGTCTCCTCTCTGCTCTTGACCTCTTCCCACCAGCCCCAGCAGTCCCTGCTCCTCAGAGGGCCAGCCCCCAGGACACTCACCTGGGAAGATGAACTGCTGCTTATATTTGTAGTAGTGGGAAGCTTGCAAAAGACAGAGAACACCCGCGTGAGTACCACTGAGTGCTGTCTTGTTGGGTACCAAGCCTCATTCCCATCGCCACTGAACAGTCACTCTGTGTCCACCCACAGAGTGCCCACACTTCTGCACGCACCATGAATTATAAGGGAGTAGGACCATGTGGGACCCAAGCATTTGACATCTTACACCCCCTAAAATCAGGCCACACCCTCTCAGAGGCGCAGTGACATTCACTTACACACACACACCACCACCACCACAAAGCTATAATCCAAAGTAATCTTCGCTTTTACAGATGCTTTATGCAAATTTTCAGCATCAAACTTTGCATTGTATTATTTTCTTTGTACTGCAACAAAATGATAATCAGTATAGTGACTCCATACTAACAGGTCCCTTTACAGCAGTGATTCTCAACCTGTGGGCGCAACTCCTTTGGAAGTTGCATGTCAGACCTCCTAAGTATCAGATATTTCCACTGCAATTCATACAGTAGCAACATTACAGTTACAGAATAGCAACAAAATAACCTCATGGTTGGCCAGGGAGGGTGGGGGGGGAGGTGTCACCACAACATGAGGAACTGTATTAAAGGGTCACCGCGTTAGGAAGGGTCAGAACCATTGCGCTACCATGCAGTGTTAAAGAGCCATGAACAAGGTGTATGATGCTTTGGGTTCCCTGGAGCCGCCAACCCAAGCAAGCACCATCCGCAGAGAGCCCGGCCCACGCACTGCTCTGCTCCCCAGCAACTCTCCCCAATCTCAGCTTTGTCACACCCTGCTGGCCTCCTTGCCTGCCCTTTATGGGATTGAATTTAGCATACTCCAGGGTAATCTGTGCCCCTTGAAATCTGCGATTTAATCCCGGCTGTCCTGATCCTTTTGTCACAGCAGGCATAGGCTTGGGGATTAGGGTGTGGACATCTTTCTCCTCTTTTGCTTTTTCACAGAGCAGGCTTTTCCCCACTTACCATAAGCATGCACTAATCTCTAGGTTTAGCAAGAATAATTATACAAAAGATGTTTCCCGAACCCTACTTGCTGAGTGCCTTGACAACTTACTCTACGTCTGGTCCATTCACCAAAGACCAAGGTTTCTAATTTGCTACTTGTACAGGGCAGACAGCTTACACCCCCACAGTAAGTTCAGTGGTTGGCAGAGACGGGGTCGTACACAAGCTACTGCAGATTCCAGTACCAAAAGCAACTTGACTACCTTCAGAGATGGGGACTGCTAACTGCCGCTTGACTCCTCTCTGTGAGGACCCAGGTCTTGGCGCTGGAGCCTAGAAGTTGATCCTTTAACACTGTTTGTTCTACATGTGTCCCTTGTAAAACCAAGCAACCCTTTCCATGTCCCAGTGTCCACACCCAAAATGGGGACAATACTAGTTCCGGGTCCATGATTCTGGGACCGTCACTCCTCAGAAGTGTACAGTGGGTTCTGAGTGGGGACAGCTGGGACTGCAGATACAACTCATCCAAGATGGAAAAAAATAACTATACCTATACCAACTATGTATATTTGTTTTACTGGCGCTGAGTCCCTAGGCAATACATGAAAACTGTCTATACAGCTCTCACTCAGTGCTTGGTGTGGCATGAAGGCACATGAGAGGGTGTGTTGAGACTGTGTGCATGTTCCACAAGGACACGAGCATCCTTGGACTGTGATATTCATGAGACTCCAGCAGCCCCAGATCTGTGGGATGAATGTGGTGAAAAGTGGGTTCCCAGATCTCTTAACTGACAGACAAGAAGGGCTTAGAACCAAGAGACAGCCGGATAGTTTCAAGTGCTAGATGTCTGTTAGGGTGCAAATGAAACAGTCCCCTTGAGGCTGGAGTCAAATAATAAGCTCCTTCAGGACAGAAGGAAAGCCCAGCACCTCAGGAACCCCGAGTCCCCACACATGTCAGGTGCGAAACACTGAGGAGTGACTAAAATCATCACTCTTTATCTAAGACACAAGAGTGGAAGCTCTTGTTGGCTCAGCCCATTTCCTGAACTGGCATAGCCTTGGAATGCCAATGGGGTTATTTTGATTCTAGAACATGGGTATACAGACTGAGAAACAGTTTGTTCCAGGTCACAAAGTACAGCTTCTGCCTCCTCCCCCCCCAAAAAAAAAAGCAGCTCATGAGTCCAGGAGCCTTGTTGGCTACACAGTTCTGTATAAATCTCACATCCTCACATGCAGCCATTTTTCAACAAAAAGCTAAAATTATAAAATAGGAAACTACTACATCTCATAGGGCCTAGATGATCTTGCCACCCACCCCCACCAGGCTCTGACTACAGTGAGGGACTCGACCCATAGTAAAGGTGGGATGATTGTCACATTCTTTTCAAGAAACAGGAGGACCGTGCGCTCAAGACTGGCCTGATAAATGTTGCTCATGTCCTAATCTTGGAGAAGTGTGACTGCATCTTTATATGGCAAAGGGACTTTAAAGATGGGTTTAAATGGGCTGCTGACCCAGGGGCTATCCTGGGCTATGCGGATGAGTCCAATGTGATTATAAAGGTCAGTGCAATAGGGAAGTCAGAAGTAAAAGAGAATCAATGAAAACAGGTTGTGTCAGTCAAGGTTTCCATTGTTGTAATGAAACACCATGACTAAAAACAACTTGGGGAGGAAGGGGTTTATTTGGCTCACACTTCCACACTGTTGTTCATCAAGGAAGGAAGTCAGGACAGGAACTCAAACAGGACAGGATCCTGGAGGCAGAAGCTGACACAAAGGCCATGGAGGGGTGTTGCTTACTGGCTTGCTCCCCATGGCCTCCTCAGCCTGCTTTCTTATAGGACCCAAGACCCAGGGGTGGCATCATCCACCATGGGCTGGGCCCTCCGCCACTGATCACTAACTGAGAAGATGCCTTACAGCTGGATCTCAAAGAGACATTTCCTCAGTTGAGGCTCCTTCCTCTCTGACGACTCTAGCTTGTGTCAAGTTGACACACAAAAGCAGCCAGGACACAGGGGATGATAGAGGTCTGGGTAGAGTAACACAGACGCTAGGGAAAAGCAAGAAAATGCTTCTGGGGTAACCACGGCCCACTGCCATGGAGTTTGCTCCCCTGCCCAGCCTTCTCAAGGCTTCTAACCTCAGAAATATCGGATGCCTTCGTGCTGTTCAGCTTGGGATCAGTTGTTACTGTGGTAGTGAGATTCTAACACTACAGAGCTATGTCAGGTTGTTCATGGTTCTACATCAAATAGCACACACAGTGGACGCTCAATAGGACTCTCAAAGGCAGACGCCATCTGAAGGTCAAGAAGACAATCTGAAGATGAGAAACTAGAGTCCTGGGAAGTGCATAGGGTTTAAGTCATTAGCTCATTCCTTGTTCATTCAACAAACATTGTGCTATCCCATAGGTACTAGCTGGCTTTGGACATAAAAAGACTCTGTCAGGTTTCCTGTTCTTAAGGTGTTGGTGTATGGTTGGAGGGGATGGAGAGTGAGCAAATGAATGAATCCCCATGATCACACAGTGACGTGGGGCAGGAGGAAGAAAAGAGGTATTGCTGGAGACCCAGTGGGATCTTAGAAATCCTACCAGCCCTTAGAGGGTGACGTGGTGGTTAACACAGAGACTCAGATCTGGCCAAAGTGCTGATAATAAACGACCATGTGGGGGGCATCTATATAAACTGTGCCATGGGTACACACACATATACACATGTGCACACACACCATGAACACACACACACCACATACTCACACACATATACCATGGATCTACACACACACCACACATGCACACACCAAACTTCACACATGCCCATGCACACACACATCACATATGCACACACACCTCATATACCACACATACCACACATGAACACACACAACACACACCACATGCACACACAGCACACATATACCACACACCACACACATGCCTATACATGCATACCACTACACACACACCACACATATACACACACACCACACTCACACACATCATACACACCATGCACACTACACACACACAGCCCTGAGCCCAGAGAACAATACAGAAGAAAGGGCAGAAAGAAGTAAAAAGCCAGAGAGTGGAGAAGAAGCTGATGAAATGTTGCCATCCAGATATGCTATTGCCATGGCAACCATGAAAACACAGTAGCTGTGGACACTTGCACAAGCCTGGGCCCCAACTTTCCTCCACAGAGGAAGTACCCGTGAAGTCCCTCTTTTCCTGAGAACCTGATGCCTATGGGTGTTTGCTGGAGGAGGGGTACCATTTTCTCTGTGATGTAGCCAGTAGAGGACAAGGTAGGAAGAAATGATTCAGATGGAAGTAGATGGGGATACTGGAGAATAAGAGGGGTGGCTATACCAACCACGCATTGTATATATACATGAAACTGAAAAAGAAGGAAAGAAACCTTGCCGTATCCACCAAAGGAAGACTCTACCCTGTTTCTTCCTTTTTAAGGCACCAGAAAGTTCTATTTCCTGGAGTGGTGTGCATGTGTGTAAGTGCATGTGTGCACTGTGGATGGGCATGAGTGTGTGATGTGTGATATAGGATGAGTCCTCTTTCTGATAGTATCTTGTAACTGTATTAACAATGAAGTTAATTCTGTATTGTCAGGAATAAATTCTGCAGTCTCAATGTGTAAAACGACTCTCTCTGTGTATTGAGAGTCAGTAACTATATTGAGGGGTTCTGTAAAATCCATAAATACCATGAGAATGGCATACAATTCTGCCTTTTGGGCAGAATTGTAAGGGCTTTGAACCACTTTACTAATTTTTCCTGATTTATATCCTGCCTTACCTGATTTGTTATATTAGGTACTAGACTTACGTTTTCCAGCTTAGGACAACTCTATTGTAAACTCCATTATGCCTTCACCCTAGGACTAGATATGTAGGTCATTTTGTTCTCGATTTTCCTTTTCTTAGAGCACACTTGTTATTCACTGTTTTGTATATAGTTCTGTATCAAGCCTAAATCTTTTCTTTAGACTAAAAGGGGAATTGTAGAGGGATATTCACTTTGTCTCCTTCTGTGGCACTGACCACGCCCATTGGGGGTGGAGCCAGGGGCAGAAGTGACCTGTGGAAGGAGGTCTGAGGAGGAGCTGGGGAATGCTCTCTTGCTGGCGAGACGTGGAGAGAGCATCCGGTGGAACTTGCTGGTGTTCATCTGTCTAGGTTGTAAGTTATTTCTCACTGAATAAACATCTATTTGGCCTATTTGTTTATCCTGATCCTTATTTAACCACAATAAGTGTGTGTGCATGCGTGTAAGTGCATGAGTGTATGTGCTTTGTGTAAGTGCATATGCGTAAGTACATGTGTTTAAGTGCATATGTGTAAGTGCATGTGTGTGCATATGTGCAAGTGCATGTGTGTAAGTGCATGAGTGTATTATGTGTGAACATGTAATGCATGAGTGTGTGAATGTATGGGAGTGCATGAATATGTGTGTGCATGTATGAGTGTGTGCATATAAGCGCATGAGTGCAGGTGTGTGTGCGCGTGTTAGTATCGTTCCAAAGACAGAGGCTATCTGGAGGCTCTACCCACAAGTCCCTTCATGCCTCTTGCCAGGTGACACTATAAACACTCAAAACAAAGTTGATTCATCTGTGTTCAGAGCAGCTCCCTGATGACCTATATTAGGTTTGTCCATGGGGCGGGATGGCTCAGGAAATGATGGAAAACAGTGGTCAATTCAATGAACCAGATGTGGTCACCAACATCGAGTCAGCACAGGTCATGCTTGGTTTGCTAACATCTCATTCCCCATGTGCTCTGAGGTCACCAGGAACATTTAATTGGCTATTAACCTCACAGACCCTTTTGGACACCCCTGAATGTTCTAGATTAATCAATTCTAGTGATATAGTTACATCCAAGCATTAGCTTACATAGCCTTAAGAACTCAACATCGCACATCCGGCCACACTCCAAGCTTCATTCTCATCTCCAGGAGCTCAGAATCAAGAGTGTGATAGAGAGCCAGGTGCCCATCACCCTGGGAGACTCTGCTAGGGCAGGGCAGTCCTGACTGCATTTCTGGAAGACTGTATCTTCCATTTCAACATCACATCCCATCATCTGCATTCACTGATTCACACCCACTCCCCATTATATACATGACAGACAGTAGGTAAGACAAAAGCCCTCTGTTAGTTAGCCAGGTGTGGGGGTGCAGACTAACCATCCCAGTCTCCAGAGGTAAAGAGGCAGAAGGATAGTGTGTCAAAAAGAAATTCCTGAGTGTTTATGCGCTGATGGTGTCAAATGGCACAGCCACTCTGGGAGGAACCACTCTTACGTTTTCGTTATGAACTACACACATGGGCAAGAGAGTGACAGTCACACTGTGTGTGCCCTACGCACAAGACCCTAAGTCCAGTCCCCAGCACCACAAACAAGGAAGTGTTTCAAACCTCTCTGCTCATTGGCATATTTTATACATGCAATGTGCATAAATACACAAAAATAATTCACAAGAAACAGAAGGATAGTTTGCCAATTACTTTGCAAACAGTTGTTCTTTCCACTTAAGACCCATGATAAGTGTCTTTACATTCTGGGAAATCTCTGCGGAGTGCTGAGTTCCTTCACATGGGGCCAGAGCATCATTCCAGTGCCTTCGGCCTTTCTCTTAATGGGCACTTGACACAATTTCAGTTCTTCACTGTTGCAATAACTAACGTCCTTACCACAGATCCTGGTGTCCTTGTGTGAGTGTCTGAATAGAAATTTCCTCAGACTAACTTCCACAGAAGATGAATCCGATAGTACTGTGTATATGTGAGCGTGTGTATGTGTGTGTATATATGCATGTATGTGTGTGAGTGTGTATATGTGTATATATGAGTGTGTATGTGTGTATATATTTGTGTGAATGCATGTATATGTTTGTGTATGTGTGTGCATATATGTGTGTATGCATGTGTGTATGAGTGTGTAAATGTATGTGTATGTACGTGCATGTGTATGTGTGTATGTATTGTGTGCATGTATGTATGTGCATGTATGTATATGTGTGTGTGTGAGTGTGTAAATGTATGTACATATGTGTGTATGAGTGTATAAATGTGTGTATGTGTGTTTGCTGTGTGTACATGTATGTGGAAGCCAGTAGCCAACCTCAGGTGTCATTCCTCGGGTTCGGTCTCCTCTTTTAGGACATAGGGTTAGCCACTTTACCCAGACTTCAGCACTGCAGCTGGGCTGGCTGCCATCGAGCCCACAAGATCCATCCGCCTTCAGTTTCCTAGCACTGGAACTGCAAGCGTGTGTCACTAGCCAGGCTTTTAACAGGAACTCTGGGAATTGAACTCAGGTCCTTGTGCTTGGCGGCAGGGTTTTCTTCCCCTCCGAGCCAGCTCAAAGGCCCTTGCTTGCTCAGGGAGCATGAAGAGGGAGACCTGATTGGCACAGCCTTTTGGGATCTACATATGGGTTTGGCTGGGCCCTGGTAGAGGCAGCAAGAGTCTGGGGTCTGCTCCACCTGACGGCAGAGGAGGAGCCCTTCTCAGGTGTAAGGACAAGGGAGGGTGAGGAGTCAGTGTCTCACAAGTCACCATTCTCTCCCAGACCGAGGCGACAGAATCAGGTCACACAGAGAGGGCAGGGTAGACAGGACTCACACTGTCCATTCAGAGCCATGTCTGGCACCTGGGCTGGGGCTTGTGAAGTGACCCTGCTCAGATGTGTGTCCCTCAGCTCCTCAGCACAACACCCTGCCACCAATACCAACCAATTTGTCTCGCCAGACAACTGCTAACTCCGGAGTGGGTGACTGCCTTGTGACTTAGCTAGGTAAAGACATCAGCTCATTGCTAAACAAAAGACATGCCTCTAAGAGTCCCTGTGCCACGTTTCCACATTTGTCAAGTAGAGTTGGTGACTCTTACTTTACATTTCCTCTACAGCTGGAATGTGGTATTAGAGGACAATTGCCCCATGTATGGTAAGTACACATCCACACACTGGCTTTGCCAATGACCCAATGCCCTCCCCCGCCCCATGGTATCCACTGTCTCCCCAGCACAGAGGTACCTGGCAGGTTGAAGTTCTTTTTCTGTCTCGTGCACTGTGGGGAAGGGTGCAGGGGAGAAGGCGGCGTGGCGCTGGGAGGGAGGGGGGGTGCTGGCGAGGAGGGCGTGGAGGACGTCGTGGATGAGGGGTTGCTGCTGGAGTCTGGCTGGTAAGGGACGGGGATGTGGTCCTGTGGAAAGAAAAAGAGGGCGGGGTCAGGGACAGGTGGGGGAACAGAGACAGAGCAGACAGGATAAGCTGAGCAGGAAGCTCTGCATTTGTTAGATCCTTCTAGAGTCTAGCATAGTCCAGTGAGACCCTTCTGCATTTGTTAGAGCCTTCTAGAGTCTAGCATAGTCCAGTGAGAGATCCTCTCTCTCTCTCTCTCTCTCCGTCTCTCTCTATCTACACACACACACACACACACACACACACACACACACACACATATATATATACATATATATATTATATGATACAAACTGACAAAGGAAGACACTTGAAGTCAACCTGTGGCTTCCACAGGTGCATGCATATTTCAACACATGCACACGTTCACGAACATGAGCGTGCACACACACACACACACACACACACACACACACACACACACCATCTGAACAAGTCAATTTAAAGGGGTTCCACCCAGATGTGGAGGGGTGTTTCTGGAGTCACATTCTGCCTGCTGCTTGAACTCCAGGCAGGAAAGGTTGCCACATAATGAAATCTGCAGAGGTGATAGCCACGCACTCTGTGCCTCTTTGATCTGGAGAGGCCCCATGCTGAGGTGCCCAGAGAACTGTCCCTGCTCTGACACGTCTCCTCCCAAGTGTTTATTAAAGAATCAACAGCTTGATAGCTCCCAAGAGTGTGGGCATGAGCCTGCAGCATCCTCCCCCTCCGCCACCTCCAGCATGCAGCTGGGACCTGCATTGTCTGTCTTGCCCTCAGACCAGCTTCACCGAAGAGCAAGATGGAGTCCTTAAAGGCATGTGCAGAATGCCCTTGTGGAATGGACTTAAGACAGTAGGTGAGAGGGTTGAATGTGCCCTCCCGCAAGACATGCCACCTAGAAGGTTAGGGCCCAACCCCAGATAGAAAGAGATCTAGAGACAGGACTGGGTCCTGACTCTGAGGATGAATATCCTCCTGAAAGACAGGAGAGGACAAACACTCACAAAGAAGGATGCGTGAAGACAGACACTGAGACTGAGGCGTTGTCACCAGCAGTTAAGGGCTGCCGAAGCCACTGGAAGCTGGAAGAGGCAGGGGGTCCTCCTCCCAGCTTGGGAAGGCACCTTAACTACCATGATGGCTTCGTCAGGGATGAGTAATACTCTACTGTGTGGATGTGTCACCGTTTGTGAGTTATTGTCCAGTGAGGGACATCACAGTTGCACTGTTGAGTGCCCATGCACTCAAAGTGAGCAGCTTTCTCTGTGTCCTAGCCAGTGCTTGGTGTGCCATCACATCTTACGGTGACCAGCGTGTGATAATGGTGTGTCATGTTGGTTCATAGTGAGCATCCTCCCCTGAACCCGCTCGCCCACTGGTTATAACTTTTGGTTGTGATTTCTGTAGCTGTTTATTCAGTTTTGAAACTGGGTAGAATTTATTCCATTTTCAATTCTCATATACACACAGATACACACATATGCTTCTTTGGTTATTCTAGCTTCTTTGTCTTTTCATAGTATCTTTAGAATGACAGTGTCTAGGGCTAGAGAGATGTGGTAAAGTGTGCATACTGCCCTTCCAGGGGACCCAAGTTCACATCCCAGCACCTACATCATAAGGCTCATGACAGCTGTGGCTCAAGCCCCATGGAATCTGGCGCCCTCTTCTGGCCTCCTCCAGTACCTGCGCTTAATGTGCACATACCCACTTTCACACGATTAAAAAAATAAAACCAAAGTCCTGGTGTCACTGGGGTCAGGGAACCCGCGTGACTCGAGGCCGTGCTCTAGGTCTAAATTCAGAGAGCCCAGCTCCCTGAGATGACCGCAGTTCACCCTGCCTCTTGGCTACCCTGACAGCGGCTCACTTTGCTGCTGGGTAGGTGGGGCTCTGTTCCTTGCAACTGCAACCAGCCAGCATGCAGGCTCTCCCAAGCCCATGCTCACAGCAGGAAGAGCTATGGCCTCTGCTGCCACTGCAGATGGCTGTTTGGATGTCCTCATGTAGGGGACTAGGGCTGGGGGCTGGTCCCTGGAGGAGCCGGCAGACGCTATTGATTTTGCTTGTCTGGTTTCTCTCCTTGTGCTGTCTTTCTTTATCTCTCCCATCCCTCACCGTCTCCTCCATTCCCTCCTCCTGCTTCCATCACTTCCTCTTCTGTCTTCTCTTGCTCTTTCTCGCATTTATTCCTTTTTTTCCCATTTCCCCCTCAGCTTTCTACTCCTCCTTCCTCTACCTTTTCCTTCTCCCTTTCCTCCTCTGTTCATTCCATTACTGTTTCCTCTTCCTCCTCCCCCTCCTCCCCTCCTTCATCCCTGAACACCTACTGTTGGACCAGTCCTCCCAGCCACCCCTCCCTAGCACCTTGCCCACGTTACAGAGGGGAAAGCTAAGGCAAATGCACTTTGAACAGGCCCAAACACAGCAACACAGATGTTTTAAGGAGCTGTGCTACAAACCCAAGCTTTATGACTCCAAAGTCTCCCTTCTGCCAACCTTCCAGGTGAGGAAGCAGGGTTTCTATGAACCTGGACAGATTGGATCAGGGAGGAGACAGATATGAGAACAGGAACTCTTCAGAGAAAATTGGCTGAGAAATCTGTCTCCGGACCACATCATTGTCTGATGACAAGAATCTTCATGAAGCCAGTGAGACAAGAACAAGGCAAAAAATAACCCAGCCATCTCCGTGGCAAAGCTGCTGTCTGCACAGAGGTCCATTTCTGTCCCTTCCTGAGTGTCCCTGCTGGCAGACAAGCAGAACAATGTCACTGTGGCTCATCCATCTGACCTGTGTTTTTGTCCCATCTGACATCAAGAGGCTCCAAGCGCTGGTTAAGCCAGACAGAAAGGTCTCAGAGTGGCTTTGAGCTCCTGGCCCCAATGATGTCACAGAAGAAAAGATGGGCTCTATGACATGCACAGTCACTTCTGGAAGATCATGGTTCCTCCCTCCCTCCTCTGTACAGTGGCACAGCCTTGCACACTCTAGCCAAGTTCTCATCCACTGAGACCGGCCCGGAGACTTCCAGAAACAACCAAAGTAAATGGTCCTGGATTTCACATTTTGCATGAAGCCCCGAGATCAAAGGCAACGTTTGTTAAGGTTCCCTGGGTATCTGCCAGGTACCAGGAAGCACACAGAGCATTTTCAAATGCTGATGCTTTAGGGTTCCCTCAGGGACCTCTCTCCAAAGCTGGTGTGCTTAACAGCCACTGGGAGCATCATAGAGCAGGGACCCAAAGCCCCTTCCCGATCACAACTGGCATCTACCTTGCCTAGCTTCAAGCCCCGCAGGCAATTGTCTCCTTAGTAAAAATGGTGGGAATGACATTGCCGAGGTCCCATGAGCCATCTGTAAGAAGCACAGATGCCATGAAGTGGCCATATTGGGGGAAGGCGAGGCTACAGGCAGCCATTTCTGGCTGACTTCTCTGCCAGGCAGACTTTGACTCTTCCCAACCCAGGCACCAGACAGGTGACTGAAGAAGCCTATAAAAGTGTAAAACACTTGATGGTAAATATTTCAGGCTTTTTACTCATGTAGGCGTTCTGGTGACTCATCAACTTTGCTATCACCCCAGCATAAAAGTAGCAACGGACAGTGTGGGTGTGGCTTGAGTCACATGAAAGCAAGTAGTGGGCTGAACTTGACCTATGCTAGACGCTACTAGCCACCAGTTATAGGGGTTTTCCTAACAAAGTCTTTGGATAGTCTAAGGCAAAGGCAAAATCATACCCCCATGGTGCTCTGACAAAACACTTAGCCCCTAACCTGAAGACTATAAGCATAATAAAAGTGTGGTTATTACACTGCTAATTTGGGGACGGTTTGTTGTATAGCAGTAGGCAACTGGAACATCCATTTTATACAGAGGAAGCCTTCAGGCCAGAGGGATTAAGTCACTTGTTTATAGTTTCACAGCCAACAAGGCTGGCTGCCAGTTTGCCCTGACCCTAGAACACAGGCTCTTTCAAACACTGGCATAATATGACAAGGAGCCGGAAAGTGACTGCAATAAAAAATGATGGCCACTTGCTGCAGGAAAAGTGGAAATAGACAGGGCTTTGGAGGGGACCATGGGAGGTCAGACACAGAGGGCAGGACCAAATGACACAGCTCTAAACAACGTGACTTGATCTGGATGTGGGGACACACACCAAGAGGCTGAGGCAGGAGGATCTCAAATTCATGACCAGCCTGAGCTGTACAGTGTGACCCTGTCTCAGAAATACATATATACACATTTGGATCAGGAGGATAGCTTAGTGGTTAAAGCGTTGGCAGTACAAGCAAGAGGACCAGATTTAGGATCCCCAGAACCCACATAAGTGCTGGGTTAGCAGTGGAGTCTGCCTGTAATCTCAGCTTCAAGGGACAAACATGGGAATCCCTAGACCAAACTGGGTAGCAATAGTAACCCCATCCTCAAGCCGTGCATTACTCTTCAAAGAATAAGGTACCAGGGCCATCAAGGAAGTCCTTGATGTCAACCTTGAACCTCCATGTGTATACTCATCACATATGTGTACATGCATCCTCACACAAGTGCCCACAAATATGCAAAGCCATGAACACACACACACACACACACACACACAGAGAGAGAGAGGCAGGAAAATACATATATAAATAAATAAATGCAAATTAGATTTGCTTCCAGAAACCATCAGAAAACCAGCAGGTGAGTTTTAAGCAGAATGACGACAGCCTTTGGATAACATTCATCGAGGCCACTCTGGCTATTGGGAGTGGTAGATGGGGAAACGAGGGGGGGGTCTTCTCAACAGCCAATGCAGGGAAGCAAGTCAACAGTCACCTAGATGTTCATCTGGCATTTGCATACAGATCTGTTCCTTCCCCCATCTCTGAGCAGACACCATGCTTTATCCACCTTCAACATAATACATGGAGGCTTTGGGGCCTGAGAACCCACCTCTTGGCATATGAGAACTTGGCTTACTCCGTGGGGTTAGAATTGTCTCTGGGACAATATCAGCACAGTCCATCAGTAGACCAAAGCCAACATAGAGTAATCATGCCAGACAGAAAGGCTTACAGAGGGCCGCTAGTTGGCCATCTGCCAGAGGGGAGAAATGGATTTGGCTGTTGCCCGGAGCCCCAAATGACATCTACCCATCCATCCAAGTCCCCACCAGAAGATCACCATCCTTTAGTTCAACAGATGTTCATAACACCCACCACCGTGTACACAGCTGCTCTGGCAGATGGGGAGCAAACCCAGGCAGAGCGGCCAGGATCTGAAGTTCCACAGAAACTCCTTTTCCTTGCCTCCTCCCATCCCAATGCTCTGTCCTCCCCATACGCGTCTTTTCTCATTTCCATGGACCTATTTCTAAACTAGACGTATCCTGCCCTGAGTAGCTCTTCAACTGATCACAGGATGCTTCCCCTCAGCCCTGAGAGCTTTAACACACACAAACCACCCAGAATCAGGAGCATCCATGACTGTGAGTGCCACGCCCCAGCTCGATCCCCTTCTCCTTCCCACACGCCATCTGCCACTGTTGTCTGTCCCCCACCACTAGCCCCAGAAAAGCCACACCTTACCTTGTTGATTTTGTTGGTTTTGGGGAGCGTCTGGCTTATATGCAGATCTGAGTATCGTGCTGGCTTCCGGACAGGGTTGTTGATGTCACAGGGGACCGACTCCGTTCGCACTAACCTTGCTGGGTCCGTAGGGGTAAAAACAGTGAAGAGAGAGAGTCTAAGCATCTCGTTGGCTTTTGTCATGTCAGGAGAGCCAAGCTCACATCCCATTTTGAAACCTACTGGTGACACCAGAAATGATAGCCATGCATCACCATGACAAATGTTCTGGGTGACCTCTGTGGAGTTTATGTTCTTTGTATTATTTACGTAGTCTCTCTCTCTCTCTCTCTCTCTCTCTCTCTCTCTCTCTCTCTCTCTCTCTCTCTCTGGGTGTATTAACTTATGTACTTGTCACTGTAGATGTGTCACTGGGGTGGGTGTGCCCATGGGTGTGAATATGGTGAGCTGAGGTTGACAGCAAGTCCATCGCTGATCTACCTTTATTTTTTGAGATGGGGTCTGCCGCTCAACCTGAAGCTCATAGTCTGGTCTAGGCTGGCTAACCAATGAGCTTCAAGAGTGGGCCTGTCTAGGCTCCCACCCCCAGCATTGGGGTGTGCTGCCATCCTAACATTTGACATGACTTCTGGGGACCTAAACTCAGGTTCTTATACTTGCATGGCAGGGACTAATTTACCAACTGAGCCATCACCCCAACACCTACACAAGATTTTTCAGACATCTCTCTTTTTTTTTTTTTGTCTTTTGTTTGTTCGTTTGTTTTTTGATTATGTATTGCCTTACACATGGTTTTTGACACTAGAGACAAGGAGCAGCCATCTTTAGTTTTTTGTGTGTGTGTTTTGTTTTGTTTTCACAGTTGCTTTCACTTCAGCCTTGACTTTCACTTGCGATAAGAGCAATCCCCGATTCCAGCGACACCTACAATTCACATACAAGCCATGATGGACACCTGTCCTTTCCTTTCGTTACGTATGAAGTTTATCAGGACAACAAAAACTGTCACACACTGGACCACGCGTGTCCCAAATAACTACAGATCCCTGCAGTAATGGCTCGGCCCCTTCAGCCTTTCCCCTGGGTATTGTACCCAGAGCCAAAGCTGGGTACACAAGCAAGCGATGCTGAGCAACTGCTTCCCAGTGGGGACGAGAGCTCCATCCTCGAGAGCCTGTCTCTCGTTATTTCTGTCACTCATGGAAAAAAGTGTGAGATGGCAGTGAGCCGCTCAAGTTCAGGTTTGCCTGCCTACCACCTTGCCTTGTTAGTTGTGGTTTTGGGTTTTTTCCCCTCCTCTCCCCCCCCCCCGCCCGGGAGGTGGGGGAAATTCAAGCTTTGCATTGACCCAGGGATTTAATTTCTCTGCTTAGCCTGAGCTGCCATTACCATGGAAACGGACTCTATTTTCAACTTCCCACCAACAGGGAGGTGGGGGAAATGCAAGGAGCCAGTGGACTTCTTCAGGAAAGTTCTCTTTGGTTTACTTGTAAGGCACAAGCCCTCCTGGAGCCCAGGGATCTTGACCTTGAAGGTGGCTGGGAGGAGGGAGGCCCTCCTTCCTGCAGTCTGGGTCTTGTCTTCCTCGGGGAGTTACCCTCCAGACCCTATAGAGCAAGATTTGGTGGGAGGCAAATTCCCCAGTGATGCTAACCTCAGACAGGGGCTCAGGAGCTGTGTGAACTCAGGGTTCAAAGTAGCCATTCAAGGGGTATTAAGACCATGAGGTGCAAAACGGAAGAGAGATAACAACAAAATGCTATTACTACCCTCCTCTCTTCATGGAGACCCAAAATGGGCAAAACATCAAAAACCAACTGCCCGTGACAGCTTTGGGCCTGCTTCAGGGGAAAAACTCACTTCTTGCCTGAAGCTTCTTGTAGGTTCATTCTTAAACTGGGTAGATACGCCAAGGCCAAGTCTGAGCTTAGCAATGCCAGGGGGAGATTTGGAAGGGTGGGGTGGGAAGGTTCAGCCTTGGCTTAACAAGTCTCTGTGCTCTCTGGGAGGTCTGAGGTTCCATCCAACCTCCAGCCAGCCAGTCACCAACACTCTGCAAAAAATCTAAGGCACATAGAACTATACAGGCTTCTGTTTGAGGCGTCACAAAGGCAGGCCACAAAGCATCTGCCTGCCTAGTTGCTGTAGTGCCCACCTGCTCTGGACAGTACCCGCCTGGACTTTCCAATCTGCCAAGTTTTTCTCATTCAGGATGCTTGCTTGGCCCCTATCAGTGTGTGAGTCTGTAGAGCTCTTGTTCATGAATAATGCTTCCTGGCTTTGAAGTACACAGGAACCCCAACCAGATCCAATTCCAAAGGGCAGGTTCTGATTGGGCATTTCTGGGGCGGGGCCAGGAATTTCACACATGCCTGGGCCACACTTTTGTTAGCCAGAGCAGAGAAGTGCAGGTGCAGTGCCTTAAGAAAGGAGTTACCCTGTAGGGGTGAGCTTTCCTGGGAGGGGATGTCCTGCAACCAGGGGAGTCATGATCAGGCCTTGAGTAAGCACTGAACAGACAACATGATCAGGCCTGAAATACAAGTACAGGCTTCCCTCGAAAAGCCAGGAAGAAGTTCATTTCTTTAATGATGGGACCCCTGGTAGACTGACCTCACATAAGGACAGGCTCCAATGCCGAGACTAGCTGAGTCAACTGTACTCAATGGGGAAAAGAGTAAAAAAAAATCTCCAAGTTGGGTGGGGACGGATGGGAGGGTGCAGAGGGTAGTGATGGAAGGAGCTGGGGGAGGTGAATATGTTCAAAAGACATTGTGTGAGACTCTCAAAGAATGAGTAAAAAACATTGCAGAGAGAGAGAGAGAGAGAGAGAGAGAGAGAGAGAGAGAGAGAGAGAGAGAGAGAGAGAGAATAGGAAAGCAAGCATGCTTAAGGGAAAAGAGACATAGATGGCTCCACAGGCAGGATGGTAGGGTGGGGATGGGAACAGAGCAGGGACCTTCAGAGCAATTCCCAAACAAAGAAAAGTACCTGACTTTTATTTCAAGGGGTTGGCAAGAAAGTCCTTATCATGGCAGTTTAGTCTGGGAGAGCCTACATGACAGGAATGGGGGAACCAATACAGGATAGGACCATAAATTGGAAAAAACACCCCACAACACAGATGCTTATTAATTACCTATCCCCAGAGAGAGAGGGAGGGCAGCTGGAAGCTTATGGCCTGAGCTCTTTGGGCTGTAACATGGGGACATTTACATGGACCAGCATCTTAGGAGCATCTGAACATCTATATGGACCAGCATCTTAGGAGCAGGCTTTGATCCCACAACATGCAACAGTATCATCAGGAGAGGTCTCTGCAGTGACGAAATTGCCATATCTCTTTGTCACCATCTAATGCAACTGCCACATTTGACTCCTGAGCCCTGAAGTAGGACTGGTGAGACTGAGTCTTGTGTTTTTAGTTCACTCTCATTAATCTCAAGTTAAGTAGTCAGATGTGCCTAATAGCTACTTATCCAACAGCACAGACTTAAGAGATTGCCCCGGGGATGGATCATGGGGGAGCTGGAAATAATGAATCCATAGGACAAGAAATTATGGAATTATTTTGCAAGCTGGGCTATGAGACTTTACAAAGAATTGTCTCCTACCGAGTCCGTGGCAGGCGGTGCAACATTTTCCCCTCCCAGATGACTGGGTCTGGTTGCGTACTGTGAAAGGCTGTCAACTTGGTCAAGTTGGCCCAGATACTCTCAGGACCCCAAAACATGGGGCACAGATGGCCTAAAGTAACTCTTCCTGTTGTGGAACATCACTTTAGCTGTGTAAACATGTGTTAAATTTGTTTATGTTGCAGAATATTACTATAACAAGATAAAGATGTATTGCTTTGCCTGCCTAAGGCACCTGATTGATCTAATAAAAAGTTGAAATGGCCAATAGCTAGGCAGTAGATGGATAGGTGGGGCTGGCAGACAGAAAAAAATAAGTAAGAGACAGAGAGAGAGAGAGAGAGAGAGAGAAGGCAGAGGAGGCAGAGGAGGGAGAGGAGGAAGAGGGAAGGAAGAAAATGGAGGAAAAAGAGAAGATGCCGCTCCAGGGCTATCCAGGCAGCCACCAGCCAGCCAGACAATGGAGCAGGGTATACAGAATGAAAGAAAGGTAAAAAGCCCTGAGACAAAACACAGATGAAGAGAAACAGGTAAATTTAAAAGAGTTAGCAAGAAACAAGCCTGAACTAAGGCCAAGCATTCGTAACTAATATTGTCTGTGTCATGATTTGGGAGCTGGCTGGTGACCCAAAAGAAAGCCTGCTACACCAGACTCCTCCCCAAGGCCACTTCTGTAAGACCAACTGAGTGAGCCTGGATCACACAATGGAAAAGCCCCAGCCAGCATCCTTTTTTTTTTTTTTTTTTTTTTTTTTTTGAGTGTGAAGGAAAAGCAATGGAGTGGAAAGGAAGCAGGGAGTGAGAATTGGGACCAGAGACAAAGGGAGGAGCCAGTAGGGTAACAGAAGTGCAAAACGGGGGAGGAAGACAGCAGGAAGGAAGACAGTATAACTAATGAAGAAGAAACTGGGTGGGCGGGGACCCAGGGATTGTGAGATATCTGGAGTCATGGGTGGGAGGCTGTGTTGGACGCAAGAGCTCTTGAGCCACTACAGAGTAACAAGGATTAAATACTTACCTCCTCGATGGATGATCAGGAGATGACAAGGTGGGGCTTCTTTGGTGCATTTGTTGTGGCACTTTAACCTGAAAGACAGAGAAAAAGGAAGTTTGTAAGGAGTACAGTTTTTCCGCCCGCCGCCTGGTCTTGTCCCGCCGCCGTGCCAGCCCCAATTAACACACTGAGACTCTGTATTTGATATAATTATGTTGGCCCGTTACTTGTTTTTTATCGGCTAGCTCTGTCTTAAGTATTAACCCATTTCTGCTGATCTATGTATTTCTCTTACCGGGGAGCTAGCCGGCATTCTGCTTTCTTCAGACTCCATCTTGACTCCTCCTTCCTACTTCCTCTTACCTCCTTGTCTTCTAGTCCCTCCTATCTTCCTTTCCTACTGACCAACAGTGCTTTATTCATTAACCAGTATGAGAAACATATACAGAATGATATCTCCCATCAGAAGTTGGATGTATTAACTGAAGGGCTTGATGGACAGATGGATAGGTAGGTGGATGGGTGGGTACGGGTAGATGGATGGATGAATGGATGGAGAAATAGAATGAGTACATGGATAGAGTGGATAGATGAGCTGAATGGATGAGTGGAAGGCTATAAATATAGGGAGACAGACAGGGATGAGCTGGTAAGGGGATGGATGGCTGGTGAATGGAAGGACTGTGCATGAACTAATGGGTGGGTGAGGTGGGTGAACAGATGGATGGATGGTTAAATAATAGAGGGAGTAGATGAATATGTGCATAGGTGGATGGACAACTGGATGTACAAACTTACAGATGGACAAATGGAGGGAGGGACAGAGGATAAATGGAAATGGATGAATGAATGAATGAATGAGTAAGTGAAGGAATAAATAGATGGACAAATAAGATGTCCAGTGGTCTGAACAACTCCAGGCACTATGGATAGAGACAAGTGGAGGCAGCTAACGAAAAAGCTGATCCCTGACAACCCAGATGGCTAACTCTGGAGAGATGGTTCCAGCGCAACTCCCCCATTCCCACCCTAGGTGGCCCAAGAGTAAGCAGAAATTGTTTTCAACAATATCTGTGTTAACTTCGTGCACTGAAATGTGCTTAGGACAGTGGTCTATATTCACCACCACCACCACCATCATCACCAAAAACAGCACTCCCATCTTAATCAGCATTACCAACTACTCAAAGGGTCACTCACCAGCCTCTCTCCCAAACATTTTCCATACACTGTTCCATCTGAGTCTTACAACCGGAAGAAATAGCTATTATTGTCATTTCCACTTTCTAGGTTGGGAAGTTGAGCATGAACTGGCATGCCCTGAACAAACCCCTAAGTCATTGTCCCATAGGTCTAGACCAAAGCCTGAAGTTCTCAGGCTTACCTTGAGGATGAGGTCATTAGCAAGCACTCAAGAGTGTTGGATACAAGTGAATTTCTTCCAGACAAACCTCAGGAGTCAGCCTTGCTTTCCCACCACATTGCGGGACTGCCCAAGGATAATACCGCCCCTCCCCCACCCCCCAAGTTATTGCAGCAACTACATTTAATGCAGAAGGATGGATGCCCCCTGCAAGATACTGCATAAACTCCATACAGATCCTCTCTGGCATTCCTCAACATTTTGTGCACCCCAGTCAAGCTTCCAACAGTTATTTGTCAGGTGACTTCCCTCAGGCTCCCAGCATCTTAGGACACAGAGGTTAGAGTATGTTTCTTCTCTCCAAAACTCTGAATGTCTGTCTCCATATAAGGTTAAAACTCCTAGGCACAGGTCAGAGCACAGGTTCCGCCCAGGAACATCAGTGTATTCTGGAAACTTCTCTGGGATTCTCTGCAGAGGTGGCATCTCTGAGGCTAGACTGGGACAAGCCCTGAAGTGACCCAGATGTGTATGGCACAGGGGAACCACAGGTCCACTTTGTAGTACAAGTTTCCCACCCCACCCCCACCATCTTTCCTGGCTCTGAGAGAGGCGCTGTATTCATCTCTGAAATGAAGACTTTAGACCTGGGGCCTAGAGCACACAGAAGACAAGCTAGGAAGGACCTGGGTGGCTCCAAACAATCGAGAGGCAGAGCTCTCCTTTTCCATCTGACCATACATGGGGAAAGGGTATCTTCAAATGCTCACCCAGTCCCAGATGCAGACGGACAACAGACATTGGGGTAGGGGTCTCATCACTGGTTTCTTCCATCTAATTTATGTTTTCGGATCGTCCTTTGTGAATGGCGAAGGTATTGTTTTTCCATTCACAGTAAAGAGGAGTTTTCATCTTTAAATAAACGTACTACTATGGTTAGAGTCTGATGTGTCCCCAGAGGCTCATGTTTTGAGTATTTAGCCCCCACCTGGGGGTACTAGTTTGAAGGCTGTGGGGCCTTTAACAGGGGGGTGGTCACTAAGGGTGGGCGTGGAAGGTCATGCCTGCCCTGGTCCGGAATGTGTTTCTACTTCCTGCTTCTTGTTACACGAACATGCCGCTCTGTGTGCTTTCACCATGTCTCCTTGCCCTATTGAATGAACCACAGACACTGTGAGTCCACATAAATCCTTCCACCCTTAAGTCACCCCTTCCTTCCACTGCCAAAAGGACACAATACACTTCAGCCATAAAGACAGTAATAAGGACAGGTGTGGTGGAGAACACATATAAGCCCAGCTCTCCAGAAGGCTGGAATCTTTGCGAATTTGCAAAGACATCAGCCTGGAATACATTCTGGGTTCCACTACTTTGTAAGGGTTAAATGATGCCATGCTTGTAAAGTGTTACACAAAATACCTGTAGTGTGGTGACTTTCAGTATGTGATATCACCAGCATCATCACCATCACCATAGCTATCACCACCATCACCATCATAACCACCATCACCACCACCACCATCATCATCACCATCGCCACCATCACCACCACCACCACCATCACCACCATCACCACCATCATCACCACAATTACTATTGCCTTGACATCATCACCACCACCTTTACCACTGTCATTATCGCCATCATCTCCATCATCATCACCATCATCATCACCATAATCATCACCATCATCATGCCCACCAACATCCATGATCCCTGCCATCTCCACAATCATCCCCCACCCCCTCCCATCATATCACCACCATATTCAATTCCCACTTCAGCTTCTGGGATAATTATGATCACCGCTCTAGTATCAGGATAATCAGACCCAACAATTTACGTGTAATAGTGAGAAGATGTACACGAGGGACGATTAATTCCCAGGATGGTTTTTGCAAGAAGCGAAGTGTTTCTATTCGTGGAAAAGCGAGTCCAGGCTTCAAGTGGGTGATCTCCAAAACGCATGCTCATAATTATATCCTGCCAACATCCTGCCTGCTGGGCAGCCTCCCAGGCCTCCAGGAACTCCGCTGCAGCTGCAGAAGCTGCGCCCATCGTTTCTCCAGTTTGGCTCAACTGGGGCTCACAGAGATCAACTCGGGGGTTGCCCCTCTTGGTGCTCACATGAGTGTGAAGTCCCTGTCACTCTGCATGTCATGGCCCTGTCTTGTTTTAGATGTTGTCCCAAGCCTGCATTGAGGGGAGCTATCTCTCCCCTCAAGTACAGGACTTCATCTGCTTGTTTGCTGTAGGTGCCTGGTGCCTGGTGTACACTATTTCCAGCTTAACTCAAAACCTGTGGGATCATCGGGGTTTGAGCCAACACTAGAACACAGACCCTTCCCCAAGGTAGGAGAGTCTGAGGGTCTCCCCAGAGAAAGAGCCAAGTCACAGTAGTGGAAATCAAATTAGCTTGAGAAGACCAGTAGCAACCTAGATATGTCTCCAAGAAGAGCATTTTGGCCCACATTTTTGTCTCCCAGGATGGGAAGTCGGGAGGCATAGCACATAAGAGCTGAGCCCAGGCCTCTGCTCCTCACTAGCTCTCTGACCCTGGCTGAGCCTCAGTCTCTCATTGCTACTGCTTAGGGCTCTTGATGAAACTGAGGGGGCCAAGTATGGCACCCAGAGCACCACCTCATGCGCTGTGATCCATTCCTGCGTTAGTCACCCTCCACCTTGAAGGACTAAATACCTGACGAAGGTGACTTAAGGGAGGGAGTTTACACCGGCTCAGTTCTGAGAGCATACTCCATCCCAGTGTGGAAGACATGGAGGTAAGGAGCCTGCAAGGGCTGTCATGTGGCACCCATGGTCAGGAAACAGAGAGATGAATGCTGGGATTTCTCCTTTGTCTTCAGTCCAGAACCCCAGCCCCTGGCATGGTGCTGCTCACGTTCAGAGTGGGTCTTCCCACTGTGGTTAAACCTTTCAGGAAATATTCACAGAGAACACATCCAGAGGTGTTTTCAGGATGATTCTGAATCAGTCAATTTGACAATTAAGCCATCGCATCCCTGAGTGCCGGCTCTTGCTGCTTTGAGGGTTATGGTTTGTGAGTCTGCCAGTCATCTGTACCTTTCAGCTTCTCTTTTCCTCCTGAGTTAAGCTCTGTCTGTTCTTTATGAAGGTTCCCAATTATCAAAGTCAGCTGTCCCTAACCTGCACTATTATTATTATTTAAACATGACTATCATGCATGATAATCATGTATATCAACAACTCATGATGTGACATTCTGATACATGAGTCCAATAAGTAACGATCGCGTCAGGGTTTGTGACTCATCCTGCATTTTATATATTACCTAAAAGGTCCTCTACCACTGTCCCCATGTTACAGACAAGGAAACTGAGGCCTCTGGAATAAATGCCTGGCACAGAACCTCACAGAGGGTACATCAGTTGTTAAAACACAGGTCTTCCTGATTCAAGACCAGATACTTACCTGGCTGGTTTGCAAGGGCAAGGGCTGGCCATGCAGTAGGACCACAATCACTCCTGCCTGCCTCTCTGCTTCCCCTTGAGCTTCCTGCACAGAGCACAGTGGGAGACCCTGGGTTCAACCCTGACCCCAGGCCAGAGCCTTCCTCACGGCCTCTGTGACCCATCTGCCACTCTCCCCTCGTGCCTTGCCTCTGGAAGTGGGCGATGCCTGTGCACCTTTCTCTGGGTTGTGAGACCACTCCCTGGGGCTGGGGGAGGGGAGAGAACGCACACCGCTAAA